GGGCGGGGGCTGGAAAGGGAGAAATGTGCCTGTCAACCCATTTATAGGCTAGCATCTTGGCTCCTTAGTGTATTTCAACCTGAAGTTTTAGCCTTGCCTTTGCAAATATGTTATTCTCAAAGGTATCGGTATTGACGGCATTGGCGGTAGTGGCCTCGGCTCAAGCGATCCCTGGACACCCAGCGCCAGCTCCTGCCCCTGCTCCAGCTCCAGTGCCGCCTACGGATTCCACTAGCGAAACCGAGGCATCGCCCTCAGCTTCGGAATCTTTTTCGGCCACGAGAAAACCAATTCAGACCCCGGAACCTCAACCTCCCATCGCCACTCCTGAACCAAAGTCATTGGACACCTTGTCGTCGGTATCTCCCCAAGTGTCGCCATCTGAATCTTCTTCTTCGACCTCGGAAGCTGCTTCCGAGTCATCTGAATCTTCGGTTGTGTCTTCTTCTTCTGTTGAAACGTCGGCTTCGGTGGCAGAAACGTCGCTGCTGCCTTCCCCCAGTGAATCTGCTTCTGAACAATCTTCTTCGGCTTCATCTGAATCCTCGGCTCTGTCGAGTGAACAATCGTCAATTGCTTCCACTTCGTCTGAAGTGCCTTCTACCATCCCTGAAGGCCCCCTGTCTTCCTCCAGTGCTACTGAGTCGACTGGCGAAACCTCCGTTGAGTCTCCTATCGAATCTTCAAGCGCTGTTGAATTGCCAATTGAATCGTCGTCGTCACAATCGGTATTAGAAACCTCTTCCTTGGCTCTGGAATCGACATCGTCTTCAGAGGAAAAGCCCACTGAGTCTTCCTCTGAAGTGAAGCCCACTGAAACCTTGTCTGAAGCTAAGCCTACTGATACTGAGGAAAGACTTACACCTTCCTCCTCGACCGTCGAGGAACAACCCACCGAACAAACTCACGAGGAAACCTCCACTGAACAACCGACCGTTGAAAACACCTCTCTGCCTGAGGTACCAGTGGAAGCAACGTCATCTTCTGAAGAAGAGGTGGTGACCACTGACATTTGGCTCACCATCACCACGGGGACTAAAGCGTGTGACACTTGTCTGGAATCAATCATCACTACTTCGATCCCCGTTGAAGTATCGCCTACGGTTGAGGGCTCGGAGACTAAGCTCGTCACTAAGGAGAAACACCCTGAAGTCACCGTCACCGTTACTTGTGAAGAAGCCAAGTGCCACGAAACTACCATCACCAACTGGAGCACCGAATCCACGCCACTTACTCAAAAAACCGTTGAAGCTGAGTCGTCGCTGGAACCCGATATCACTACGTTTGTTACCATCACGTTACCCGCTACTGAAGTCGCTTGCTCTGAGGGTGAATCGTGTCTGCTGAAGACGGTAAAGCCCGAACAAGTGTGCCAAGGCGACTCCTGTACCACCACCACCCCCACTGATACTAAGGCCCCCGAAACTGCCCCGGAAACCATTTCCGAGTCTGCCACTGGGTCTACTGCCTCTGAAGAACCCACTACTACTTACACTAAGACGTTGGCGGTGACGGAAGTCAGCTGTGGGCCCGATGAAGGCTGCGAACTGAAGACTGTACAACCAGCAGTGGTGTGCCAAGGCGATGACTGTGAGACCACTACCTACACGTCCTACATCGACGTGTACGTCACCCAAAGTCTGAGCCTGCTTGCTGGTGCGGAAATCATCCCTACCTCGCTGTTCCCGGAATTTGAGGGTGGTGCTTCGAGCACTCAAGCCTCGGTGGCGGCGGTGGTGATGGCATTGGTGCCTCTTTTCCTTCTCTGATCTTTCTTTCATTCTCTCTACTCTTTCAATCTAGTCTTTCTTTTTTTACTGCCTACTTTAGCCTATCCCAAAAATATCTCCCCTCTTCTTTTTTTTATGATGTCTCCCGGACTCTCGCAGTAGAGACGACGATTACTTGTGAAATACGAGGAAGGGATGACCTGTGACGATACCCAAGAATATACGTGTTTGCCTTCTCTATTATTAAAATGTAGGCCCACTGTTTGCATTCGAGAGTGACCGCCTCCTGCAACCCTGAAACCAAAAACATTACCACCCGCACACTATATAGTGAGTCCGAACTCGCCCAGTAAATCTTCTTCTTTATGGTCACCACTCCAATGATGCCTAACCCCAATTGAAGCAGGGCCATCCGGCAAAAGAAGTTTTCAACTATGATTATTGGTCATTTGGTTGTCACCTTCCCATTGTCGTTACTTTCGGTTTCACGTCGTCAATTTGGTCGTCGCTTTTTTTTATCACAATTGTATTGAAGCGCAGCACATCCAGGCACTATCCCATGCCGATCCTTTATTTTTATCACTGTGAATTGATTTGTTCGGTCTTTATATATCCCCCATTTTTGTGTTCCAAAGAAAAAAAAAAAAAGAAATTGACATACTCAGAAAAAGATAGCCAACCCCAGATTTCGGTTCCGCTAGACCTCGTTCCTTTTACCTTGAATATCACCAATAAACACCGATTAGCACAGTGTAGACACCAGTTTACAAATTTCTTAGTCTATATCTATTCATTATGATCATATTCTCGTTATATACAATTACAATTCCAAGGGCTTGTTGTTGGTCTTGGCGGCTTCACCGTACTTCTTGAGTCTGATCGATTGGATGGTGATAAAGCCCGAGGTGGCTTCGGGCGAGAACCCGGTCAACTCGTCCATCGACAGCTCGGTGGCGTCGTACAAGTTTTCGGTTTCCGACGATCTCCCCAACACGATCACGTTACCCTTGTAGGCAGCCAATCTCACGACACCGTTGACGGTCTTTTGCGAGGCGGGGATGGTGGAACGGATGAATTCACATTCAGGGGTGAAGTACATCCCGTTGTACAATTGTCTCGAGAACGAGATGGTGACGAATTGGTCTCTCAACGCACGCAATTCCTTGTCCAAAGTCAACCCTTCGATGTCGATGTGGGCGGCTCTGAGGATGGTCAAACCGGGGGTTTCGTAGCACCCTCTCGACTTGATCCCGATGAAACGGTTTTCCAAGATGTCGACACGACCGACACCGTTTCTCTTGGCCAACTCGTTGGCGGCGAGGAAAAGTTCGACGGAGTCGGTGATTTCCTTACCTTGCACTTCGAGCTTGGTGGGGATCCCCTTCTCAAAGTGGACCTTGAATTCTTCAGGGGTGTCAGGAGCGTCGGTGGGGTCGACAGTCAACTTCCACATGTCCTTAGGAGGGGTGGTGTCGGGGTCTTCCAAGATACCGGCTTCGTAGGAGATGTGGGCCAAGTTTTCGTCGGTGGACCAGGGCTTGGCCTTGGTCTGGGCGACGGGGATACCCTTTTCGGCGGCGTAGTTCAACAAGTCGTTTCTGCCGGCGAATCTTTCGAAGAAAGCCGGGTCTCTCCAGGGGGCAATCACTTGCACGTCGGGCTTCAACGCGTAGTAGGCCAATTCGAATCTGACCTGGTCGTTACCCTTACCGGTGCACCCGTGGGCGACGGCGAAACAGCCGTGCTTATCGGCGACGTCAATTTGCGCCTTGGCGATGACGGGACGAGCCAACGAGGTCCCCAAAAGGTAACGGTCTTCGTATTGACAGTTAGCCTGGATGGCGGGGAAACAGATCTTTTCGACGAATTCCTTCTTGACGTCGGGGCACTCAAAGGCACAGGCACCAATCTTCAACGCCTTCTCTCTGGCGGCATCAAAGTCTTCCAATTGGCCGGCGTCGACAAGACAGGCGACGACTTCGTAGCCTTGCTCAAGCAACCACGCGAGGATGATCAGGGTGTCCAAGCCACCCGAGTACGCCAAACAAACCTTGCCCTTCGACATTTGTGAGATATAAGTGTTAGTTAATAAAAGAAAAATAAACTGGGAGGCAGGGACGGGTGCTTTATATATTTGAGGGGTGAAAATTTGTCCTGGGGCTGCATACAGGAGGTTTTTTTCGTCATCGCGGTTAGATGAGTCAGGGTTACCGCATCGGGACAGCGATGCCGCGGTGTCGCTCCCCGGCAGTAGCCGGCTTCTTCTCGAAGTGTTGAACATGATCGCTGACAGTGGTCTAAGTCACTATATGCCACTGCTGAAGCCATCTGTGTTGTCGTCTACTTTCCTTACATTGTTTATCTCTCACTTATCACGGTGGGTGGTGCTACCATCGGTGGTGATTGGCCGCAGTCATCATGCGCAGCACCCACCCCCAGCCATGCCACCGAACAGAACCAAAAAAACGCATACTTTAGTCTATTAGTCACAACTTTAATGCTATCGTACATTCTTACTGTAGTCTCACTCACCATCCTCACTTTCCCATTGGTTGTTCTGTCCTCTATTCCCTCATATTTCGTAGTTTTTTCGTATCCGTTGGCCTCGGAAATTTGCCTTCCAAATATTGGCACGGCGACTCGTGTTTAGCCATCTCACCACGCGCACCAAAACACTGTGTCCACACTCTCACAAGCACTCGCACCAACCACACCGCCATGGGGCTCAAGGAGGACGGCAACCACGCCTACGCCGCCGGCGAGTACGTGCGGGCAGCCAAGCTTTACCGCGACGCCCTCGCTGCTGACCCAAATAACGCCGTGCTCTATCTGAACCGGTGCCAGTGCTTCCTTAAGCTTAAGGACTATAACCGAGCGTATAAGGACGCGGTGGCAGGAATCAATTTGATCGGCGACCACGACGATAAGTTGGCGGCTAAGCTTTACTTCCGTAAAGGGATGGCGCTAAAGGGTTTAGGGGATGTGGCTAAAGCCCGCTACTGTTTTAATAAAGTGCTTAACTATGACGCCACCAACACCGATGCGAAAACTCAAATGGCTCAATTGGGAGCACTGGTCGAAGTCGAAGCCGTCACTCAGCTCCCTCAAGAATTTGCCCTGATGGTGACAAATGAACCGACTAAAGCGAAGCCCGTGACCCCGGAACCAGTGGTACTGAAGTCAGCTCAAGCGGAAATTGACGCCTTGTTCCCACTGTCGAAATCATCCAAGAAAGAAACACAACAACCACCAAAGCCGTCCCTGACTCAAACGGATTCCCCCCAACTTAATCCATTACAATTGCTTACTCAGCTTAGACGGCTATCACCGGAGGAGAAACTGCGGGCCTACCGCTACGTCGTCAGCCTCACTCCCACGGATCTCGACATGTTCAAGTCTGGAGTTGACAGCAATTTCCTCGAGTTCTACCTCGAAGCTATTGCCAATACCACCGACATTGACCCGCAATTGGTGGCCCAATGCCTCGCTACCCTTTCCAAATTCCCTCGCTATTCATTATCTATGACGATGGTTGATCCTAAACTACGCCAAGCCGTCCAGAGTAAAGTACCTGGGGCTCGGCTTGACTAGGTATCGTTATACGCTAATCTATTGGGTGACCGACGGATCCAGCCAAACGAGATCGCCCCACGAGTACTGGCATCAACAAGTCGACGACGGACGTTCTGTGGCGGTACTCCTTTGCTCAACTCAATGGCCGCGAGTCCTGCCACCATAGGAGCCGCCATCAGCGTCCCCAGATACGTCGCCAGCCCCGAAGGATCGTGAGCGTCTAATGACTCTACCCTGACTCCAGGAGCGAATAAGTCAACACAATAACCCCAATTGGAAAAGGGAGCTAGGGCATCGTCGCTATCGGCAATGGCACCCACGGTGATCGCCCCAGAAGCCAGTGCCGGACTCAGAAGACAGGCGTTGATGTGCTCATTGCCCGCAGCCACCACCACCACCATCCCCATTTTGACCACCTCGTTAACCACTTCGTTAAACGCTCGCAGCCGTACCGAGCCAAGGGAAAGGTTCATCACTGCCGGTACTCCCTTGGCCTCCATATCGTTGACGGCATACTCCATGCCCAAAAAGATCGTCGACAAGCTGCCCCTACCTCTTTGGTCAAGCACTTTCACCAGGGTAATTTGGACATCTTTGGCCACCCCGTAAGTGGCACTGCCGACGATACCGGCGACGTGGGTACCGTGACCGTTAGCGTCATCCGTCAGCTCGGGAGTAAAGTTGGCTCCCACTTCCGCACGCCCTTCGAACTCGTCAAAATCAACGTTAACCCCCAGATCCAACACGTACACGGTTACTCCCTGGCCTGAAGCGTCGTCGTCCCACCGGTACGCACTCCCTGGCTCGTCGCTAAACAGCAGCCGTTGCGATATTCTCGCTAAGTGACGAGGGGCGGGGGCCTGTTCCACCACTTCCAACTGCTTCACGGGCGTATCGTCGTGGATCATCAACACTTCGGGACACTTGCTGAGGATACTGAGTCCTCGCGGCTCAAAGTCAGCGACGAAACCAGAGATGGTGCCGATGGTGAATTGCCGCTTAACTGGTGGAGGCTCCTGGCGGAAATTGGACCGGATCCAGTTGGTGGCGACGTCCACGCGCAGATGGGGCTTGAGGATGACCAAATACTCTGCTGCCGCCACGTATAAAATCCACCACCAAATCATAACCGACTAAGAGGTGGGACAGTTGATTGGTTTTAATCTGCCGTCACCCACTTCGTCTTGTATATAGAGTATACATCAACTTTAAGCATATATAACAAATATAGTAAAGTATACACAGGAGAATGAAAATTAAGTAAGGTATAAACTGATTAAAGAATCTCCAGAAAGGCCGTAATTGCCGTGTTACCATCTAGGTGACTCCATCATTACCAATGGAGAGAGTACTACGATAATGGCATATATTACCTACTGCATTCACACAGTTTAAAGGCATCAACAGTAGACTGAATGACTTGCCGAGCGTCATTGTATACTCTACTTGTCAAACATGTTGTAGCCGAAGTTTCCATATGAGGTTCCTTAACTCTCTGAGATTTTGCAATCCACTAAAATTGGAGTTGATCTCAACGGATCTTTCCCTGCAAACGTAAGCTACAATCTGGCTAGGTCGTTACTCGTATCTAAAACTATATACAGCTGCCACTATTTACAAGGGTCACCGTTTATCGTCGTTAATCATGCGCCAGATGGCATCAGCATCGCGCTTGGTAGGAGGGTTATACTCCCGACAATGGTCGCCAAAGAGAAGCCGTCGCCACCAACTGGGACGGGTCTGGGGACTCACCACGAGACTATCGGCAGGACGCGACTGCATCATCGTAAGCCGTTGCACTTGGCGGAGCTTGTGGAAGTTGTAGTAGGTGATCAACAACCCTTGGAGTGCCAGCACCACCACCACGGCTCCAAACCCCCACTCGGATTCCTCGATGTAGTTTTTCAAATTCATCCCGTAGAACGCCGGTACCAATGTCGCCACCGTAAAACCCAAAGTGTATAACGTCACTTTAAGCTCAAATAACATAAGCTGGTTGCGGTTGGCGTCGAGGATAATGTTGGCCACTTCTTCAGTGGCCTTAATATCACTAAGCGACAGCCCCAGGTGTTGTACGAGCTCGTCGCACTGGTTGGAATAGGTTTCAAGGATCATTTCGAGGTCGTCGTAGTCGTGGTCGGCGGGGGGAGGCTGGCTCAAATACATCCCCGCAAGATCTTCATCGTTATCCAACACTTCATCAAGGACATTAGCAATAAGCTGAGCCTTTTGGTGGAAGCGGGCGAGCTTTTTCAGCTTGATCAATAACTCTTGTAAGTTTTTGCGGTCGACTTGGTCCTCTAGTTGGTGTAAGATGCGGTTGTTATCTCCCGTCTGCGCTCTCAAATCGTCCTCCATATACGTCATGATGTTGATCAATATCGTTTCGATCGCTCTGAACTCGTACGGGGGACCGTAGGGGGTCTTAAGCTTCATCTCAAGGTCATACATAAATAGACCAAGGCGTGTCGCCCCAATATCGGTGCTAGTATCAAACACCATCACCTGATCCCTTTTGATGATCGCCTTAATGTGGAGCAAGTTGACGATGATGGCGTTATTGGCACGGATCATAATACTGGGACTGATATCGATCGAGGACGTATCGATTTTGCGGACGTCACGCGGGTGGAGGTTATTGTCACGTAAAAACTTCATCTTGGGGAATCGTTTGGACACGGCGGTGATGGCGCCGTGGCTGTCAAACGTGGTGCAACTGATGTAGACGTCCAGCGGCACCACCGGTTTCAACGTGTTGTGGAGCAGCAGCGAGATCGGCACCGGCAACTGGTCGCTGTGGTGTAGGTTCGACGTGAACTGCTGGAGAGCGGTGCGGCTGGCATCGGGCGTGGAACGATGGCGGAGCCATTGGTGGAAGGGGAACACGCCTCGTCGCCACTGTCGCATGGGGGTCCAAGGGCCGCACCGCCGCACCGATGAGCCCGATGGTAGTACGTGACGAGATAGGTGGAAATGTTAAGAACAACGTTATATAGCGATATATTTAAGTGTTCGTGAGGTTAGTTTGGTTGGATACTTAGCCTTAAAATTGTTGGAGTAAGGGTTGATGAATTATGGCCTTATCACTGGTTCTCACACCCAGAGCAAGTGTACGAGCGTGTTACTAGTAAGTACGAGCGTGTTACTAGTAAACACAAGTGAATATTTGTGATCTTTAGATGGTGCTAGTTTAGGTATTGCCGTGATGGGGAACTACTTAGTGCTAGCAATGATGGGAGAACTAGGACAACTTGTGATGGAATGAGCCGCTTATCGACATTGATTAACCTGAGAGAAAGCTCCGCCGTTGTTCTACGGGCAAAGTTATCGGTTGACGGTTTGATATTGACCTCTGAGAGGGATATATGCCATGCCTGGTTTTGACGCCATCCAATTTGCCGATTATCTGGTTCGAATGCTCAATTCAACCACTCATCTGCGCCGTTATCTGACAGTGGGGCGATTTATGGGTTCATTTGGAAAATTTTACTGTTGTCAAGACGTGTGAGTTGTTCGCTTGGGTGGCATATGCTCAACATCTTGAGAGTGATTCAGGCTTCTGGGCATCAGCCACAAGGCAATAGACAAGTTCCCAATTCACTAACGCGCAAGCAGTTCTGTATTTGTTGCTGGTCCGAAACTAACATCTCCCGGTGCTTTCACCTACATCTGGTGGAATCGTTCTAGGCTTTTTTCGAAGTAGATGCTGTCGTTGGGTGTAATACCAAGGTGGTACACGTGTGGGGTCGTTTAAATATACTCCTCACGAAGTCATATTTTTTTTTGGTCTAAGTCAGTCGTTTTTCTATTGTTGAACACAATGTCAATCCAACACAGTTTCCAGCCTCAGGAGGATTGACTCGGGACCACCAGGTGCAAGTGGGCGCCGCGTACGCAATAGGGGTGCTTAAGACAATAGCCACTAGCAAGGGGGTACTTGCGACCAACAAGCGCACGCCACATTGGATTAGTCCTAGCATAGTCCGTGCATTAAACGGTCGTTGTCGAAACCTCGTATACACCGGTTGTTGTATAATTTATGTGACAAAGAAATCAAGGTGCCAATTTCAAAATCGGATATGAAAGCAGGGAATGGCGATACAAAGATCTCACTTTATCCTGTTGAATTGACGTCTCGGTTGAAATTTCATGTACTAAACCAAGGGATGGTGACACGCTTTGTGCTATTGCAACCACCACTTTGTGAAGCTTTTGGCTGTGGCCCACTATTGTCTATGACGTAGGGTGGGTTGAACTTGACTCTGAGAATAGGGGATTTTCGAGTTATATAGAGGCCACCGACCATGAACCATTATTTCAACAACCATGATGTTGTTACTGCTTATTGCGGTAGCGTCGGCGTTGGTGGTTCCTGCTGAACCCCTCGACAAGAGACACCCTGAAGGGATCATTACCAACGATATCAATATTTCCGACCACTTTACTTACCAAATGCAAGTGAAGGTTGGCTCTCAAGGACACTCGTTTAACCCCGTCGCCGACACCGGTTCCCACGAGACGTGGTTCCCCAATTACGACGGGTGGGCGTCCCAATCGACATCGCTCAAGAACCTTACCCTGCCATTTTCGGCAAGCTACGCTGGCACCTACGGATACAATGGGTACTGGGTCACCGACTCGGTCACTTTTACTGATGGCGCCACTACCAACTTCCAATTTGGCATCGTCGAGAACAAACGAGACGGCTACTACCAAGAGGGTATGGTCGGCCTTTCACGGTGGTCGGGAGGTGACCACGACACGTTGCCGTACCGCTTGAAAAACACGGGGGCCATCGATCGCGGGGTGGCCTCGTTATACTACTCCACCGATAAGAAGAAGGGGAAGTTAATTTTTGGTGGCTACGACCAAGCGAAGGTGGCGTCAGCCTGGAGTACTCACTCTGACCCGACGACGTTTAAAGTGCCCCTCAGAAACGTCACCGCCAACGGCATAACCTATTACCCTGACTTTGGCGACTTCCCCATCGTTGTGGATACTGGTGCTGGCAATTCGTGGATTCCTAAGGCGATCCTTGACCCGATTGCGCAGTTATACAATAACCCTCAACGGTCGCAATCCCTCTATAGGGTGAGTTGTGACATTCCTGACACCCTGTTCCAGCTTGGGTTTGGTAATTTGGTCTTGGATATCCCGCTTAAGGACTTTGTCAGGCCTCACAAGGAAGGGGACACTGTGTGTACCTTGGGTGCTATTGCCTCTGAAAGAACCAGCAGTAACATCACTCTCTTTGGCGGGGCAATTCTCAACCATGTGGTGACGCTTTTCGATTACGACAACGGCGTGGTCTCAGTGGCTAACTATAAGGAAACCGATGAAGAAAACATCGTTAAACCAGAATAAACTACGATATCATGTTTTGAAATGAACAATCTAGCAATAAAACATGGTATATCAATCATTTATGGTGTAATTGGGCAAATACAATCAAGGTGAGAGGCCAAAAGACGGAAAACCTACACTTAAAAGTACTAAACCCACAAAAACCAACCAATTGATTGAAGCTCAAGGAAAGCATGCGGAATATCATGCAAAAGACAAGTTTGTGCGAGAATTTTCGTCTGACAAAGCGACTGCAAAGATAGTACACCACCAAGAGCTTTACAAGCAATGTGAAATCAGGTATAATGAAATTGACATCGACCCTATGGACGAAACGCCTGACGAAAAGACGCAGCAGTTGTTGGGCGAGAGGCTGAAGTTGGAAAAGGCATGTGAATCCCATAAGTTCAAAAAAAAAAACTGGCAGATATCTTTATTGGTGTTTTTTATGGAATATGGAACTACTTAAGGGCCTCTAAAAAGTTTATATAAAAATTTTCCACTTAGATTTTTTGATCTAATCGTTTGCATTTGGATCTAAGCTGTAAAAATGTCTAAAATTGTTAATGTCCATGTTATTGTTAAAAGACAACTTCGAAGTAATAAAAATTCATCGAGTCCGGTATGGTGTAATGGCTATCACGGTTCGCTTTCACCGAGCAAATCAGGGTTCGATTCCCTGTACCGGAGTCTCCTTTTTTTTGTGTAACTGTATGAAAGTCGAAGTGGTTTACGACCTCCCTTATTGATTGTGCTCTTCATGCGGATTTGTCTATTACTCTATAAAGTTTGGTTTTGCCCACAGAGGAATGTCATCTTCGAAGCATATATTGGGATTCCCCTGGTAATGGTACTTGAATGCATGTAACCAGATCGCTTGATCCGACAAGTCTCGGTCGGTGGTTAGCAACTGCTTACCACATTCGAGACATTTAGTATCGTAGTCCGCTTTCAATTTTTCGAATGATTGCGAGCGGAGAGACTTTAATCTCTCGACCTCTGACCTTAGTGCTGAGTCGTGATACCAGTTGGTGATGCTGTAGAGGTCAATGGTACCTTTTTGCAATGCTTCCGGGAGCTTATCGGCCAGTTGTAGTTGGCCAAACTCAGGGTGTACGCGAAAGAGACGTCGGTAGAGTTCAAGTTCAATCGAGCAGCTGAGCTTATTCACTTCGTGGTTGATAAACCCTTCGTTCACCGGGTGATAGAGATAGTCATTGGCAATGGGGAACCCCACGTTACGGAGATGAATGCGGATTTGGTGGGTTTTCCCGGTAACGGGTTGACATTTAACCACACTCTGGTTCAGGGTTGGGTCATAACTCACGCGGGTGAAGATGGTGGATGAGTTCGCCATAAGTTCATCGGCATTGACGGGCCGGATATGGCCCTGGGTCGACATCACCGAGAATATCGGACAATTGACCAAATGGGTACCTTGGGGGAACTCGCCTTTGACGCGGGCAAAATACTCCTTAGTCACCAACTGCTTATTCTCGGAAAACAACTGTTGGTAGTATTTGCCCGCTTTTTGGTTTTTGGCGAGGATTAGCACCCCGGCGGTAGCTTTATCAAGCCGGTGAGTGGGCCATACGTTCGCTAGCTGGCGGTCGAACTTGACGATTTCCGTGATCGAATTGTAGTGGTAGTTCCCCGTAGGGTGGGTGGGGATCCCCGGAGGCTTGCTGATCACGAGCAAATCGTCGTCTTCGTGGATCACTGTCCACGGCAAGTCGCCCACACTAGGCTCGTGGCGGTGTTGTAGCGAGTGGATCACGTCAAACCGATCCAACGGACGCGTGGCAAGCGAGTCCCACCCTTTGATCGTCTGTTGGGTGTGTTTTTTCTTCCCCTGGTTCGTCTCGATGAACAAGCGGTGGTGGCGGATCGCCTGCTCCACCACTGCTGCCAGCTCGCCAAACTCGGTGGTTTGAAGCTCAACGAGTGTCTTCCCCTCCCATCGTTGTTTTATGCGGACGGAGAACTCGGAGAAGTAAGGGGCTACTTTACGCAACCCGTTCTCGAAAGTGTACATCTCGCGATGCGCCCATATATTGATAAGGGCTCTCAGTCGCGGTGGAGGGTGTTACCAGAACGGTCCCGAACGTCAATAAACGCAAGCAGTTGGAAACCGGTGCGCGAAAACTAAAGTGTAAATAGCTTAGCGAATTAACTCGATCTGGTAAACAGTCAAAAGAGGTCACGGAAAGTGACTTTTGACAAACTTTTCATGTAGCTATCGGTGTTAAGTGGTGAAGAAGACATTTGTTTCAATATCTGCTGAAAAACACACTACTTGAAGTTTGACCAATTTCAAAAGGGTTGAAACATTGAGGTGTAGTACTAGTGATGGTCTCAACAGATTATCGTTATTAGAAAACAAGCGTATTATACAGGGATATCTATAGCCGGCTAGACTACTCTAGACCGACGCTCTATCGCGTCCCCCACGTTAAACAAGTGTCGTCCCAAGCTAGACATCTCTAGACTCAGGAGTTGCCGTTGATGGGAGGAGGCACGTTCGCCTTCAGCTGGCCGATGACGTTACCGGCCTCGATGTACTCACACACAATGTAGTGGCCCCAGTTGGTGGCCCGGCAGTCCTTGCGGGCACACCCCAATTGGGTCAGCGCCTTCCACACCACCTGGGTGAAGTGGTCGTAGTGGTCTTCGGTGCCGTAGACGTAGGTCTTGCCCTCGTCGTACCACGCTTGCACGGCGTCGACGCCGTCGTAGCCGGCAGCCAAATTCTCACCGTACTCGCCGTGGGAGTGGGTCAACACCCCCAGACAGTCGTAGTTGTCGGCCATGTTCTTGGCGTACTGGTAGGCGGCGTCGGACCACAGCATCTGCGGCGACCCGTGCTGGGCCCGGAGCTTGTTGTGGATGTCGAGCATCTGCTTGTTCCAGTTGGCGTCGTTGCCCAGGCCGAACGAGTTGCCGTTGCTGCCACTGTTGCCGTTATTGCCGTTGTGGTTGCCGTTGTTGCCGTTATTGCCGTTGTTGCCGTTGTTGTTACCATTATTGCCGTTGTTACCGTTGTTTCCTTGGTTGTTGTTGTTGTTGTTGTTGTTGTTGTTGTTGTTGTTGTTGTTGTTGTTGTTGTTGTTACCTTGGTTGTTGTTGTTGTTGGCGGTGGAAGGGGTCAGAGTGGCGGCTTGAGGAGAAGCAGAGGCCGACGAAGAGGCACCCTGCTTTTGCACCCCACCGAAATCAAACAATTGCGACCAGAACGAAGCGTCGCCCGACGAGCCAGTCGCCGAGGGCTTGGGTGCCGGGGCCGCCGGGGCCGCCGACGAGGCACTCGCCCCCGAGTCGACGCCAAAGTAGTTGTGCCACTCGTTGATAAAACCGGGGTCCAAGAACCCTTCCAAAATTTCAGCTAACCCAGCGCCAGCGGTGGAGTCAGCAGAAGTAGCAGGAGCAGCCGAGGCAGCAGGAGCTCCCTGGCCGTTGTTGGTGGCAGCAGGAGCGGCTGCCTGAGCCACTTGGGTGGTGATGGTCACTTGATCAACGACAGTAGCAGCGGCGGGGGGAGCGCCGGCAGCAGCCGGGGGGGCGCTCTGGGGTTGGCCAGCGGGGGCACCTTGAGGTTGAGCCGCCGCCGTCGTCGCTGGAGCGGGTGCTGGAGCCGCCAGGGTGGGGAACAAGAAATCAAAGAAGCCGGCAGCAGCATCGCCCTCGGGCACGGGGAGGGCCGACGCCACTGCGGCTAAGGCAAGAACCGCGGCGTACATCAAAGGAAAGACGAGGAAAAAAGGTGGTGGTGGTGGAGAGAAACAGTGGGGCAGGCCCAGCGAAGATATATTTATTGGTACCCTGCCATATTCGCAACCATTGCCTGACTGGGTCACATTTCCGCATTGGGCAAGTAATCTGCAGGACAAGCCTCGTCTCGGCGTGAGGTCACATTTGTTTACCCCAGCACCAAACGGGAAACCAGGGGGGATATTCGTCATTTAAAAAGGTTTTCTGGTACTTCCGTGGGCAATCTATCAGCTAGCGTTACCAGTTTCTTCATTTGCGATGCTTTTCCTTAGACTTATCTCTGATAGTACCTGGAGTGTCGTTTCTGTGCAGCCTGCACAACGCTCGCGGTGCATTAGACGTGCATGGCGCCGACCACGATGAGCACTAGTTATAACTGGTTTAGGCAGTGGACAAAAGGAACTCGCCAGTGGCGTGGCAGCGGCTATTATCCTAAACAGGATACCAAGACACGCTGCCCGCAGCCGATAGCACGCTGTCTCGAGCATTCCACATGGGCCCCGTTGGGAAATACCCCACAATAAGTCCCCTCGTCTACCCCACATCGCTCGCTACCGTTTCCAGGTAAACAACCGATAAAGAAAGCAATTTCGTGGCTTGGGTCGACCCCTTCCCTTACCATAATTCAAATGATATTTCATAGTTCAGTTCTTAGACAAGGGAGGGGGGGTTTGGGCTTGGCTGCCAAGTGATCGACCGCCCACAATCTAACTAGTTTCCCCAGATGGCCACCAACGAACCTTAATGCGGGTTTCGGCCACAAAAGAAACCCGCATCCGGAAATACATCAGTGAAGGGAAGTGGCAACAGTGATCACCCCGGGACGGTAGTGTGCAACCAACCCCAGAAAAGGAACGGCGAGCTACCCCATTCAAACGGCTACCCCTCCCCGTTGAGGGGTAGCGCTAGTGAGCTGCTGGCAACTGGTGGAATTTGTTGAGATCACACGTATTGGGGAGAAGTAACTCGTTTACCCCGATGGTTTATCGCTGCCTGCGTGCTCTTTGTGCATTCGTAAATGGTGTACCCCAGGGTATTTGCGTACAGCTGCGGTAAATCACCTTAAACGGGATAGGCCTGGGAATAGCGATAGTGAATATTCGAGCTCCAGTTAAGGTTAGCGATTATACTATACTCAGACACAAAAATTTCCGACACCAGACGGAAATTTCACGTCACTTCAGCTGACATTTAGCTAACCTAATGGTCGACCTAATGAAACGAAATGCCATACATTCTAAAACATACTTGTTGCTCAAGGGCTTTTTAGTTCACCCTCATGTTTAATGACTAAAGACTAATTTGGCCATGATATCTCGCTATTGGGCCGAACCAGTTGCAAACCATATATAAGGGCTACTATCTCGGGTGTGGAACCCAACTCCGAGATCCGCGCACGTGACGCCTCTGGGGACAAACAAGCGCGAGAACCACACGCGTACCACAAGAGACTACAAGAAACCACTCACCAACAGCTGAGAGAAAGAGCCAAATTCAGGATGACCTGAGTCTGAAATTGCAATTTTAACGATGTCTACTTATTACATGTCCAATTACTAGTTGGTGACATGCATTTCCAGAGGTAATTTACCCTCGAAGACTAAAATACGTCTTAAGCCGCCGTCGTCGCCAATCGGCTACATTTACGAAAGTTCCTACGGAAGTTTCCTTAATGCCAGTGACGAAAGCCAGAGTTATTATTCAGGAGATACAGGGGCGTGGTGTCATGGGCAGCCGTGGTCCGCTTCTGCAACTGCTACTGCTGAAGGTAATTGGAGTTGACAAGGGGAGGCACAACATCGCAACCGACAGTGGTGACCTCCATGTGCCAAGATTTACAGCTGAGGGAAATTCAGGGTGAAATCTTTTCTCCCTGTTGAGTGAGCCAACCTCAAGTTATCGAGATGGGAGTCCATGAATCATTATGATATGGGCTCTTTTTACAAACTATAACCCATATCACGCTATGGCAATTGGCTAGAGGGAGGCGATTGATAATGGATACCGGTCTTTTTGTTTCGGCAGAGTCTGTCAATATCGATGGGACGAGACGCGCGCGGCTGTTACCAGGAGCAACCGCCAACGGGGTGTGAAGTTAAAGCTAAAAAAGGGTGGTGTTTTGCCAGTGTCTGAGTGGTGGAGAAGCGGGGTTGAAGTGTCCGGCCAGGGCGTCTCGTCGTCAACTATAAATAAGGTGGCAGGTGCCCTGTAAGCCAGTTCTACACCATCATGGGTAAGACTGCTAAGCTTTCGACTAAGCCCTCGACCGCTCCCCCAGCTGTCCCCGCTGAAGCTGCTGCCGCCACTCCTCAGGCTGCTGCCCCTGGTGAAGCTGCTGTCACTCCTGTGGCTGCTGGTGGCGGTACTGCCGGGGCCACTGGCAACACCCCGGCCTTTAGTGCCCCTCCTGGTGGTATTGTCCCGGTTGACGCTGCTACCACTCGTCCCGTTGGTGACGACATTGGTTCTGTCGGTGCTTTCATTGGCTCTGTGTGTAGCACTGCCCGCGCTGCTGCCCCCACTGTTGGTGCCCCTACTGGCGCTGCCCCTACTGGCACTGGTGACGCTGCTGTTACCGCCACTGATAATGCCCCTGCTGCCGCTGGTGACGCTGCCGAAGCCGCTGCCGCTGTTGTCAATGCTGGTGCTACCACGTCCATCCCCGCCGAAGCTGTGACTGCTGCTGTCCCCGCTGGCGATGCTCCTGCCCCCAAGGACCCGTTCAAGGTAACCGAGATGGACGAAAAGAAGTTGTTGACCTTCTACAAGTACATCATTGGTGGGGTGGGTGCTGACGCCGCCGGTAAGCACGTTGGGTTCGAACCTGCCCGCGCCTCCAAGTTGGCTGAGCTCATCATGGCCAAGGCCAACGCCAAGTGCCCCATGACCGAGTCGGGGAGACTCGCTCTCCAGATTTTCATCGAGGAAATCAAGGAACGCGAGATTGGCCGTGACGTCGAGGCGATGATGGCGTTCTTGGAAGCCAACGCGGTGGATGTGGAGCTTGCTGAACTTTAAGTGTCTATGAGGTGGGCTGAGATATATAGCTGTATGAATGCAATGCTATGTGAACTTAAACTTTAAAATAACTAATTGCTCGTATAAACGGCCGCCACGCATGGTTTATAAATCCTGTGTACGATCATGATGGAAATGAATCAGAACTGTCAAATTAAAATCTATGATATCTATTATATGTGTCGTCTAAACGGTTTTCTTATATACCAACCCTTTAAAGATGTCAAAGGAGTTGCCATCCGGTTGTAACTCGTAGCGGTGGCCCAGGTTGACGTCGCGGGCGACGAGACACCCGTAGTCGGGAGTAATCCCTTCAATCACCACTTTGACGAACTGGCCGTCAACCACAAGCAGTACGCTCTGCTGCAGATGGAACCAGCGTTTATAGTATAAGTCGAGGAACGGACGGAGACCCTGGGTGGCAAACACTTTGTAGTACTGATCGACAGTGTACAACACTTTAGCCAAGAGCATCTCGTGATTATAAGGAGCTAAAGGTGCAAGTCCTTGGCGTTGACGAAGACGGTTAAGCTGAGCTAACACTTGATTCAACGATGTGGTCGGTGCCTCGTTGGAGACATTGACCCCAGCACCCCATACCAAGTTGTAGGTGCCATCAATGTATTGGGAATTGACGATTGCCCCCAGTAACTTCGCCCACTTCTCGTCGTCGCCGTCAACAGTAGAACTGACGTCATCTCGGTCCTTAACATCACTATAGTGTTGCGGTTTAAGGATATAGATGTCGTTGGGCCACTTGAGCCGCACCGGCATGTCCTCGTAGCCGTTGCCGTAGCCTAATATGGCTTCAATAAGGGCAAGCCCACAGAGGTACTGGAGGGTAACGATATGGTTGTGGATGTTAGGGATATCACCGCTCACTTTGAAAAGCACGGAAGTAGCCATCACCCCGCGAGGGTTGATCCACACGTTACCACCACGGCCTCTACCGGCAACTTGAGCGGTAGCAGTGAGGGTAAATCCATGGGGCAAGTACTTGAGCCACTGGCGGTTGCCGTCCATAAGGGTATTAGTTGACGTCACCACTTCGCCGTAGCCCACGGCCAGGCCCACATCGAGCTGTTGCCCGTCTCTAAGCTCGTCAAGTGCTGCTTGGAATTTACGCACCGAGAAGTACGGGGTACTACGGTCATTAGGCAATTCCTCGGGGAACACAAAGTTGACTAGTTCCTGGCTATCGCCTTCCATCAACACGGGAGCAGTAGAAAACTGGAACCGGTTAGTATCGTCTTGGTGGATACCATCAGCAGACACATCACAATTGGCCACAATCGTTTGGAGGACCAGAGAAGCTTGAGGACCAGTAACGTAGATAGGTGTCAATTGAGGTGGCTGAGCATCGACATCTTCATTCACTTTGAGCCCTAATCGCTCAAGCATTGCTTTCATAAACACTTTACGGTCTCTCTCATGGGGAGTCAATTGTGCTCCAAATACTCCTTCTAGCCATGCCAGAGAGAACTCAGGGTGAGTACCAGTTAAAATAACATCGCCTTTGTTCACTTTACAATGGACAACCGCCGCCCGCGAACCATCGCCATCTTCAACTTCGATATCCGGCGGGTACTGGGCCAAGATCTCGACGTTTCTGTATCGTGAGGCATCAACAAAGACCCCACCCCCGTTATAGTACTGGGAAACACGGTCTAGGCCGCCAATCGCCAGCGTGAGCTCGACCACTTTCGCGCCTCGGTGAGTACCGTACTCAAACCCTCGGTACGCGCCGCCACGACACGTCCCGGGGAAGAACTTAAGGTCTCGCGGTCCCGATACTTCCAAAGGTGTCCCCACTTCAAATTCCACCCGTTTGGCGGCGTAGTAGCCGCCAGCACAGAGACCAAGGTACTTGCCGCCTTTGCGAACGTAGTCATCGATCTTCTTGTTACCAACTCCCAGCAACAGCTTAACATAGGGCAAATCAGCTCCGCCAGGGACCACGAGACACGCGGTCTTATACATCCACGGGTCGTTGACAAGCGCGTCCTCCAGTACCGTCACCACGGCGTAGTAGGGCAGGAGATGGTGGCGCAACAGATCCACAGCATGTTTCACCAGTTCGGAGGTGGTGCCGGGACCGGCATACACGAGAACGTTCATCAACGAGCGGATTCGGTTGTTTAGAAAGATGTTGGGCTTATCTGAAATATTTTGGCCCCGGCGTTGACATGTCACGTGATATAGATCATCTGACGGTAGTTCACAGCTTTAGGTAGAAAGATTCGCAGCAATCTAAATCAGGCCCCCCAATACCCATCCGGGGTAGACAGGCGCCTTTATGGTCATTGGCCCCAGCATTCTACTTTCGTAAGTGTGCATCAAAACACTCCGATATAGAGTTTCGTCTACATTATTTAGCTTCCACAGGGTGACGTCTCATAACCAGGGTTGCCCTCGTTTTACACAACTGCTGTCACGCTTTGATCAGCCACTAGCCCCCACACCCCCTAAGCTCACCACAAACTGATCAACAAAATGCTTCAAAACTAAACCAACTTAATTTAAACATTTATTATAAAATCAATTGATTCGATTAAACTCTGAAAGACGTCATTTTGTGGTTACTACGGTCGCCGGGGCGTCGCTCCGTTCCCCTCACCTCGCACCGATTCGCACTCCGATGAGGACCTCCTAAACCCCCAGCCGGATCGTGCTATACCTGTTAGGCTGCCGGCGCCGTGTTTTCCTGAACCAATCCCCCCTCAATTGGTCGAGTATACCCCCATTTCAATTGTTTCCCCTTGCAATTTAGCGGTGAAAACCCCCAAACACCCCGTACCCACCAGTGGTCTCCTCCCCACACTAAGCAGCAACGTTGGTGTATACATTCCACCATGGCTATCCTCGACCCAAAACCGGGGTTCACCGTCAAGACGCGGGTGGTGGCGCTGCCCCAGGCCCAGCAATTGGGCCGCAAGTTGTTTGTCAACGTGTGCCACGACCCGCAAGTGCCTAAACCCCAGGATACCGAATTCGTCCCGGAAACGGTGTTTCCCAAGATTGTTACCAACGAATGGGAGATCCCTATCATCGTATCGCTGCCTAAAGAGGTTGTCGACAAAAAGGGGTCGGCGCTGACGGCAATTGACTGCTGTATTAACTCGACATGTTTTACGTGGATCCAACTATTTATTGACCTCAAAAAGATCGTCATTGAGTGGTGTCTTGAAGCGATTGAAGTCACGAACGATATCACTCTCGATCGTGACTATACCATCCCCAAAATGCTCTCAAAGGGTGAGCTTACCAAGACAGAAATTAATGACGACGAACTCGCTAAGGGGCCTCAAGCTAAACTTGAAGAATTGCAGAAGAATGAACCGTTAAACCTTTTGCATGAAGTACAAGACGCTGACGGTGACGTCGACATGGACGGTACTTCGTTACCTCCCCTCGTGCCTCAACCCCTGTCGCGACCATTGATCGAAGAAGTCACCACCAGTCCCGCTTCCGGCTCCACCAACTCCACCCCAAAAGCATCGTCATCCACATCCACCGCCAACACTCTGCTTGACCCTGATCCTGAAGACTCTGACCTGAATGAGCCTACTCAGATCGATTACCAATTAAGCTTCACTGATCTCGAAAACGAAAAGTTTAACCTATTAGTTAAGCTCCACAGCCCTCAGCTCACTCCCCAAAACGTGCTGGTCTCGCTAAAGGGAATGGACTTGATCATTGTGCCGCGAGAACCGCTCTTTTTCTCCACTCTGGAGAGAAATTTGGTAGTTCCTTTGAGAGCACCCAAAGCCACTCAGCCGAGATGCTTCTTTGTGACTCCAGAAAGTACGCTCTACGTATTTATTTGACGGTGGGTATTTATGATGGTGTTGATAAGGTTATTGAGGCTGGGTACCTCATGTGGCTTGCATAATCATTGGTGTCGTAAAATACCGGATAGTCGTGAAATGAGGGGAGAAAAGGCTGAGACAAAGAGATAGGCCCCAAGAAGACAGTGTATGATAGACCCAAGCACGACATGTCCCTTCAATAGGCTTTGTCTCTAATATCTCGTGATTTAGACAAGGACTTAGGTACGCATCAAATACATATATGAGCCGATAAAATTGTCAAAATCAAACATTCAAATCAGGCGTAACTTGATGGGAAATGAATCCTTTACAGTTCAAACATCGGCATTCTTGATTTTCACAAAATGTAAAAAAATTAGTTTGAACTTTCTCGAAGTGATACTTCTGTTAATCGCCGCTCACGATCGTAAAGTCGCACGATTGAAATTAATTCATGCGAGCGAACAAAAATCAAAAAGTAACGCTAACTGCAGGATTTGAACCTACGCACTCAGAGAGCATTGGATTTCAAGTCCAACTCCTTAACCACTCGGACAAGTTAGCACTGTTGGGGGTAACGAAAACTGTGATAAACTAGTGTTATTAAGTATGAGTCAATATTTCGCTCATAGTCCATCCAAAAAGGCTTTTACTCACAGCTAACACTCTTGGTAATCTTTTTATTTCGTAATGTACATAGTTCAGTACATTTTCGCAGTATTAGTGTATTAAATTTCGTATTAAATTTTTTTTTGTAAAAAATTCTCGATTATAAACTAAATGGCACTCCATACACCACTGGAGCACAACCATTCAAGTATTGCAAATTGCATTGAGTTCGACTCTGCATGACCGCTTCAGCGATGTTTACTCGACGAGGATTGGTTTGAAGCAAGCCCCACTTGTCGAACACACTTTGACTGAACAGATCAATGTCTTTATCGGTGACGTCCCACAAGTTGGCCAAGACCATAGGAGCGCCACACGTCAACCAATTCATGATAGCCCCGTGGGGTTCCAATAAACCATTATCGGTAACGGCTCCCAGCGAGCACCCAATTAAAAGTAATGGCGGTGGCCGGTGTCCTTCAGTCAAGCATGCTTGATATAATGCCGCTGTTGGGATATAGCGATCACTACTGCCATGGCCAAGGTACACAAACAAGTCCAGATTGAATATTTGGGGCACAAGTTCGTTTTCCTCGGGTTTTCTTCCCACAATGCCGGTCCAACCTTGACGCTTAAAAGCATGAGCGAACGACTCTTCGGTCCGCTTAAGGTCACCCGCGGGATTGATCAAATACACACACCGCTCGATGTCGTCAAGCCTGAGATCAGAATATGATTTCAATGTCTTGATCAACATCGTTAAGCAAGGCACTCGCAGCACTGACTTATCTTGCAAGCATGGTATGCTTTCCCACGGAAACAACTGAACGCGAGCCAGTGGCACCAAAATCACGTGGTGGTTGGCGACGGGGGTTTTAAGACCCAGATACTTTTCCAACACCTTCATTACTGAATTGGTTAAACTAGCAGGCAACTTCCGGTGGTCAATGGGGTGACCATGGAAGATGAACAGGTCCACCACAAACGATACGAGATCCTCAATGAATGGACGGTGTAAGTCGTCGAGTCCGTAGAACAAGCGGAACACATGGTCCAGTGTCCATTTCATCTGGTGCCGTTCGAACACCCGAATCAAGTCTTCACGGAAATGGCGATACACTTGGTCTTCAGCGTAATTGGAAAAGAGACCACTAAACCCAGCAAACCATTCATTAGCCCGTTGCAATACCTCTTTGAGTCGGTAGTCAAGCAGATAGCGCAACTCCCACCATTTTCGACGCTGCTGCTTGTCAATGATTTTGGAGGTTGTCAGCAGTTTAGTGCTGAGATTCGATTCAGCAATGATTTGATTAAACTCCGACATAACGTGATTGAATGACATGGTGGACGTGGGACGACTCATCGAGAGTCTCACGAAAAATGGTGCCGAGCCTTTGGTGAACCTCGACACGATTAAACTGCCGGTGCTGTCGCAAATGTCCAAGGTTACCACCAGCCACGACAGGGGTAAATGCATGTTCAAATCAAGAGTGAAGTTGAGGCGAGTCGACTCGAAGTTCTTTGGCGATGGTGGCGCAAATGCCACCGGTCCAAGACCTGAGGATTTCGTGACGGCGTGGTCCAATTGCTCGTCATTCTCAAATGGAACAAGATTGGCAACCTCTTGAATGTAGTACATGTCGCTCAAAAGCTGAGAGTCCTCTTTGAACAACAGGATTGCCGATAACGCTAGCAGACACTGGTTGATGATGCGTACTACCTCTTTAAGCTTAAACGTCGCCACTGCCTTATGATCCTGAAATAATCGAAGCAAGCCGTTCTTGCACGCCACCAAGTTGTTGAGAGTGGTCTCATCCAAACGAGGAGCCGCTCCATCGGCACCAACACCGGGAAGAGCCAAAACTGTTTCCGCCAATGACGAGTATTCAGGAAGCTTTTTGAGCTCGTTAACGGCTTCTAGAAGATCAGCTTTCAGGGCAAATAGTTGTGAGGTAGTGGTACACACCGAGTTAGCTGCGTGACTATGGTCGCTGAGCAGAAGTAAGTACAGCCATTCCAGATTGGGGATATCAAGAGTGCAATAAAAGGGCAACGTGCTAGCAATTGGCGGCGTCAAACCATCAGTTGGCTGTCCACGTTGCACTCGAGTAATATTCACGCGCAAATAGCGACATACCACATCATTACTTACCAAAGCATTGTCCATAAGGCTATCCAATAATGACAACCGCTGCTCAAATGCCGCCGAGTCCTTAAGAAGACAGTCGTATTGCATGAGTTCAACCAGCCAGAGAAACTGACGAACGGGTAGAGTTTGGATCTCGGTGAGTTTGGCGAGCTCTTTGCGGTAATACAACAAGTCACGGGTGATGCCCAAGTGTTTAAGGATTTCCATCACCAGGCTCAACAGTGCTCCAAGTAAAGCGGTAACGTGCCAGCGTTGACTGGTGCTTACGGCATCGTCAGGAGCACGAATGGCGGTGTGAATGAACTTGATGGCGACCTTAGCTCCCCGGTACGCTTCGCTGTAGTTGTTGGCCAAGCACTGGATGCGACTGCCCCAGTAGTCAAGCTCAGCCACGAGAATAATGTAGCCGTAACGGGTACGGATATCGTTCAGACGAGCGTTGAGTTTAGACTCGAGAATGCGAGATACCTTGGTGTACTTTTCTTGAGCGGCAGCGTAGTTACCTTGGAGAATCATCAAGTGGAGCTGGAGGCAGTTGAACTGGATAATCGTCGAGATATCCGAAATCTGTGCTGCCCGAAGTCCTCCACTTATCTGGTTAATTAAGTTGGCGGCGTCGTCGATTTGGTGGAGATGGAGTAAGGCGTTGGCCAACTCAAATTGTTGGCGTATACTTGTGGTATCTTTCAAGAGAGTGGCAATGTAACCATAAAGGCATTGAAACTTGAGCCAACAACATGCCTTTACCAAAATGTCTTCCAGAGGGTTGTTCTGAGTCAATTGAAGAAGAAGCTCATCGAAGTTGTCTTGATTCCACTCTTGACTCAAATGCAGGATAAGGCCACTAATTCCGTCGGTCTTTGGCGCTGTCACTCCCAAGTGTTGCTGTAAGAATGCCTGATTATCGGCGCTCAACTGAGAAACGAAGTGCCACTTTTCCGCATCATCAAGTCCACTGGCTTGTGCAATCAGTCGAAGCACTTCCAGACTAAGATGGACAGTAGACGCACTTCCCTCCACCACAAACCGAACAACATCAAGTAATCTCTGTGGAGAGCAAATAGCAGACACTTGAGTCAATCGCGTAGTAAGAAACTCAACATCACTAGGTTCACCACTGCGTTTAGCTAAAGCCTTATCAAACGATATCGCCTGCTTCAACGCCGAATCCAATTTGGTCACTTGGTAAATATGCGTGGACAAGTTCGAGAAATTGCGAAGGCGACGATAGTATACTGACAGAGTGGTAGCCTCGGCCAAGTTTGCGAGGATTTTGAGCATTTCGTTGTTGTATGCGTGTTTAGTACCAGAGTTCTTGATCCAAATGGTGATGGCATCAATGACTGAGACTACTTCTTTTGTGATTTCTGGCACACTGTCTTTTTTTGTGAATGCCAGCGCTAATACTGTGGCCATTCTTACCAGTACCGGGTCACGAGGGGTCCACTGGAACCGCGAGAGCTGTTCAAGCACCTCTATCTTGTTCATCCAGTACTCAGGCGGGTCTTGAAGCACTTGTGCAAGCAGATCAACTTCCTCTAGCGTTGGGCTGGTGACAACATCTTTCAATGCAATAATGAGACTCAGGCACTGATCAGGCTCACATAGTTTAGTAACTTGTTGGTAAAGGATAGGGTTACTCTGAAGATCGTCAATAAATGGTTTGAGCGAGGTATCGTCCACTAAAATGTAGGGAGCCACATCGGTATCGGAGCCACCACTTAATTGAAGACAGATAAGAGCAAATGCACTGCGAACAAGTCGTAGCGGGGTGGAGTCAATCAGTTTGAGAATGCGGGTAAAGATATGGACCATACCTTTGGCGAGCTTTACTTTATTAGCGGCGTACTTCGGCAGCGCCTCCGGCACGGCGGCCACCCACTGGCTGAACTGTGAGTTAGACAAGAACCACGTTGCCAAATTGGAGTAGGCCAGCACCGTCCACGTCTCGTCGGCGTTACTGGCGACAATGGTAGGGTTTTGCGCGGCGTAATTAAGGGCAATCTGAAGCACAAGGAAGTGCCATGCCACCACCATCTTTGCCCACTGGCGGTGACGAGACAGGTAGGGAGTATTTTCAGACACATTAGTAGTGGCATCTGAGCCAAACCATTGGCAAAAGGCTCGCTTAATAAGCCGGAGATGATCTATAGCCGCGCGGTAGTGCTTGTGGTCAATGAGGGAGATAACGAACGCCTGGTGGGTTTTGACAACATGCAATCCACTTGAAGTGGGTAAGTTGACTCGGTAAAGCGCTCTGGCGGCTAATAGGCTCGGTCGGGGGTCAAATGAGGGCGAAATGGGGCGGCTGAGGATGGCAAACGCCGCTGCTTCTGCCAGCTTGCGGTCGACGACGCCACTATTGGCGCGGTTGGAGGTGCCTAGCACCAGGAGGCCGCGTCCCGACCCCAAATATCGCTGGATAATGCCGATGGCATCGTCCTCCATCGTGTTTTGGTGGTGGTTCTGGGAAAGGTAAACAACGCGATCACAAAAATCGCACCCTCTGCAGCCACCACCGCCGCGAGTCGAAATGGGGAGAGACCAGCAGTTTATCCAACAGAGGAAGCAAATATGGAAGAAAATTAGATCGATGAGTTAATTGGAGTTAAGTAATTGATTTTTGCTGATTTGAGACTTGATAGGTTGTAAATTATAGTATAATTATATAACTGTAGTGGCTAGTGTTGATAGTATCAATATTGATTAAAGAGGCGATGGAGAAGGCTGGGCTTGAAGAATTATACGGTAGAGAATATGCCACGGCCGCGGGAATGGGGTTGTACTGCCACTTAGCTAATAGCAGCATTATCTAACCAGAAGTGGGAAACACATTCATGACTTTGTGTTCAATATGAAAACTAAGCCTAAGCCAGTTGATGGATGTGGATACAGTGATCACTAAGACCTAATATGTAGATCAATTCTGGTAGTCAGAGTCAGTAGGAAGCACTGGCATTGATCTAAGTACATTTCCATGCTCCAAATATCTCGTCTTGTTTACGTTTATCAAACTAGTCTATTTCTCATACCGTTATATACATTACAATTTTTCCGTCAACTCGGGGATGGCCTCGTTCAAGTCGGCCACCAACCCGTAGTCGGCCACCCCGAAGATGGGCGCGTCGGCGTCCTTGTTGATGGCGACGATCGTCTTGGCGTCCTTCATCCCCGCCAAGTGCTGGATGGCGCCGGAAACACCGACGGCGACGTACAATTCGGGAGCAACGATCTTCCCCGTTTGCCCCACTTGCAACGAGTTGTCGCAGAAGCCCAGGTCGACGGCGGCTCTCAGGGCGCCGATGGCGGCGCCAAGCTTAGTGGCAAGCGGCTCCATCAACTGGTCGAAGGTTTCCTTTGATTTGAGACCTCTACCACCAGCAACCACTCTAGTAGCAGAGCCTAATTCGGGACGCTCCAGCTTAACGAGATCCTCTGAAACGAATTCAGTACGGTTTTGCAGTTCAGCCGCGTCCACAGTTTCCACAGCCGCTGAGCCACCTTCAGTGGCCGCGGGTTCAAACGCCAGGCCTCTGATCGACGCCAATACCGGCGAGTCCAGCGTCTTGACGGTGGCAAGGGCGTTACCGGCGTAAATGGGGCGAACGAACGTGTCTTCCAGCTCCACTTTGATCACGTCCGATACCGGTTGGACGTCAAGCAACGCCGCTAACCGGGGGAGCCACAGCTTGCCCACAGCGCTGGCGGGAGTCACCACATGGGTAAAGCCATCTTTGGCCACCACCAGCTGCACCAACGGAGCCACTTCTTCAGCCAAATAGTGGTTGTATTGCTCGGAGGGGGACACCAACACTTTAGTGATCCCGGGGATCTTGGCCACGGTATCGGCGACGGCCTGGCCTTCGGGGCCCGCGACCAACGCCGTCACCGGCTTGCCGATCTGCTGGGCGCCGGTGATTGCCGAAAGCGACAGCGGGGTGATCTTGGCGCCGGCGGCCTCGACAAACACAAGCGTGTCGAGCCGTGCTCTGGTAGTGGAGAACAAACGACGGGCAAGCATAAGTATTGGGTGGGGTCGTGATTGGTGAAAAAAGTGGCTTATAACGCGCACGGATCCCCGATAACGGAGGCCACAATCTGGTGGATTGATGATAAATTACAAACTTTGAATAGATTAAAGTGACATGGTTGAATGAGTATAGCTTGGTGTATTGATGATAATTTTTTGTGATTGTTTTTTTCTGATGAAATCGGTCAACTATTCAGATGGTTTTCCACCGCAATTTATGAGTGTGACTCAGTGAAAATTATATTTGAGTCATAAAACTCAAAGGACAGTAAATCTTTGACATACACAACCACCATACAGTCTGATGCAAGATATGTAAATATCACGGTTTTTAAAGTGAATGTTTTGTAGTCAGGACGTGTGTGTGCCGTGATGATGCAAGAGATAACGGGAGCACGGCTGTACACATAAGCCATCGAAGTCTACCAAAATCAGAAATGCTAATTATCCATTAAAGGTGAGGTATTAAAAATTAAAGATCGGACGGATGTCATTATTTCAGGTGGATGGATCAGAGAATATCCCGATATTCTCTTCAAGAAGGGTATGGTTAATTAAATGGGTCGAGCTCAACACGCTCACGCCACGAGGACTGCGGATCCAGTGGTCGTACCAGTTACTAAGCACGTTTTTGGTGTTGTACACGTTGATGAAATCTGGATCATGGTCTCCTCTGACGTAATTTAGGTATTCTCGTGTGGTGAGGTTTTGCGCCGTGAGAAATAGGTGGAACACAAGGAGTAAAAGAGGGTACCCCAGCGCCAAAATGCCATAAATCACAAGTAAAAACGATACCGGATACTTTGAAAGACTCCCACCAAACGATTTTATGGTGTGGGTATCATTATCTGATATTAGGTACCAGAAAATATGGACAAACAGCATGATGGCCATAAACAAGGTAGTGACTACTGCCAGCAATAGAAACCACAAGAAGTAGCGGTAATTACGTTTACCAACACAATTGTTCAAAAACACACAGTGGTGGTCGTGGTTTATCACACAAATGTCACACAGAGCGCAATGGCTCACTCTGGGAGGACGCCATATTTTACACGTAGGACAGTACTTCACCGTGACTCCCTTAGTACGATCGATCCACGGTAGCTTGATGATGTTCTCGTACTCGTCAGGGATCGTGATTTTCTTTTCATAGGGTGTTTGTGGTAAGTGGATATTTTTGGGGAACGCTCCGGGGTCCAGCATCGACAGCCGAAGGAAAAACAGCAACGTAGCCAACCAGAGATAAGCGAATATGAATGGTATCGCTGCATTAATATGGTGCCACATCCACAGCGCCTCAAATATAAAGAATAGCACTCCCGGGGCGACGATAAGGACGCCACACGCCACGTTTATCGGTTTCTGTTTCGCCAGTCGCCAGCGACCGCCACAGATATAGATGTACCGCGTTTGGTTAGTTTGGTAGCTCCGTTTGGCTAGGTTATACCGCTCGTAGAGCTCGGGGTCGGTGACAAGCCAGTTGGTGACGAACCACACGAGCCATGACGGTTTCGGCACTGCTGGAGACACCGCCACCAGCAGCAGCGTCAACAGCTCCGGGTCGAAGCTGCGTGACGACGCCGTCGTCCGTTTGGCGAGGGAGTCGTTCATCACGTGTGGGGGGTGGAGGGGGGGTGGTCGCCTCACTGGCTCGATGCGGTTGCTGTTTCGCTTATGTCAACGGTAGGTGTTGTTTATTGACTCTGGGCCAGGGTCCTCGCGTAAGGACCCGAGTCACACACCATGAGCAGGTACACCGTTCAAGGATAGTGCGCACTCTCATAGAGACCAACAGTGAGCAATGTGGAGACGGGCGGCGCCGAGACTACTAGGGCGGCCTACACAATTTATCACGCCTCGAAGGGGGATCAAGCTCAGTGCCCTGGGGGCTGCGGCTATAAAAGGGTGGGGTCCGTTTATCAATATTATTGGAGGCGCCTATATCGGGGGCCTCATCGTGTGCTTTGGCCTGTTGTACTTGATGTACCACGACGCCGACCAGCGCCAGCCGATTCCGTTTGAGCTCAAGTTCAATGATCAAGTCGAAGCCGTGAAAGCGATTAATAAGGACGACGTGTGCCACAGCCCCCGCCACGCGGTGAAACACTACCGTAAGCTCTTGATTGAGTTGGCTAAGGAAAATGGTGTTGAGTGGCACTATGATGAAACTGACCCTACTACCAAATACGACGTCCCCATTTTATCATCGGACGTGCTTGTTTATAAGAAACTGGCCAAATTCGCCAATTTTTATGTCGATATTGTCCTTCGCTACGCTAAAGCATTATTGGCTAAGGGCCAACCGGAAGCGCTGATCCACATATTGGAACAAATGATCACTAACGACACTATCTTCTATAAGTTAGGTGATGCTGAACGGCTATCGCAGTGTGCTCGTTTACTTAGTCGGCTTGAACCGAAACCGGAAGATAAGCAAGGGGTGCTTGATCGTGACTTGGATATGTTGATTAAGACCTACGACGGCATCGACATCGACCAGTACCGCATCCAGAGCGATTCTAAGGTCACTGACGAAGTATTGGCGTGTCTTAATGATATCGCGTTTACACAAGCCAAACAAGGAGGAAAACACCATTTGAACACGGCGTTAAACATCTACATGGCCAACTTGAAAAAGCTTACAGAGATTAAGAATGACATTGATAATCACGTCAAGACGCAGGCGCTGTTTCCTGCGTTTGACTGCGATAACAAAAACCTTGTCCTCCTCATAAATGAATGTAAGGCACACATCTCCGAGATCATGTGGGCTAAAGGCTACAAAAAGAATGCCATTGCGTGGAGTGAAGATGTGGTTAATGGCTTATTCCCCTACCATAACGCTGAGCCGGAAGTGGCCCCCTTGTTAGTACAAGTGCTCAACAACCTCGACGCCATGTACGCCAACCTCAAAGATACCCACTCCCGCAACCGGTGCAAGCAGGCCAAAGACCAGCTTGAAGTGTTTGACACTGACGATAAAGGGTGGTACGAAAACTTTATAAACCGGTGGTCACGGATCATTTGGTCAAAAGGTCCCCTTGGAATCATTGAGAAACCGTTACTGGAACGGTTTGGCCAGCCTCAGCCGTTACCCGAACTCGAAGAAATTGAACCCGAAGACGACTAACTAATTGACTCGTAAAAACCTTTGACTCGTCAATCGGTGATCACCGCTATCACGGGTAGTGCCGAAATAAATTGTACATAGCTAGTGGTTCGGTCTCCCCCGAATGCGGGGACTCTCACGATATAAATATACCATAATTTCCACGTACTACAATTAATATAAAAAAAAACCATTTAGTCGTCAATTATGACCATCACATAACTGGCTTTTGGCTTAATGGCAGTCTCTGACTGCGACTGGGTTTGTTTGTCAGTGAGCGACCCCGGTGATGATGATCGACCCCGGACTTCCTGCACATAGCCCAGCCAATGGCGGTCGCGCAAAGTAAGCTGCCAAAAAAAGTCGCTAGTTTGCGCGAAAGCGAATACCGTCTCCCCCTACCTCTCTCTATTCAACTCCAGATCACCATGTTCCGCGTTGGATTGGCGAAGACTGCGCTCAGACCCGCTCGTGTGTACCGCCCCGTGCTTGCCCGCGGCATCAACACCATCCCCCAGCCGCCCGGTGGGGTTGTTGGCGACGCTAACGACGCCTACGTTCCCCCTCCCCCCGATAAGGCCCACGGGTCGCTCCACTGGACCTTTGAAAGAGTTGTCGCTCTTGGTTTGGTCCCCGTGACTCTCTACCCGTTCATCAACCCCGCTTGCTCGATCGTCGACACCTCGTTGTGCACGTTGTTGTTGTTCCACTGCTACACTGGTTTCCAGCTGTGCATCATTGACTACATCCCCAAGCGGGTCTACGGCGGGTTGCACAACGCCGCCATGTACCTCTTGATGTTCGGCACCGGTGTTGCCGGCTACGGGGTCTACGAGATGGAAAAGAAGGACGGCGGGTTGGCCCCGCTCATCGCCAAGCTCTGGAAGGCTTAGTGTACATATTTATTAAACATCATATTAGTTATTGACTTGGTTTCCGCTTCTTGCTGCTGGCGACAAACTCCTGGCGTAGAGGGGCGACTTGGTGGTCGAACCAGTGCTGGAGGTTGTCCTTAGCTAAAGGTACCAGCCGTGCCGCCACCTCCTCCTCCAGTAATAACTGTAGCTGATAGATTTCAGGGTCATACAGATCCCTGTACACTAAAGCAGGCCCGATGACAAGACTATCGCCGGCAATAGTCATGTCAACGTACTTGTGGTCGACCATGTAGATGATGGCGCGGTCGAGCTCGACGGTGGTGGGGATGCCGTACTGCTCTGCTAATTGAGTAATAGGCACTTTGAGGCCGTCACACTCGTTGGAGATGCTGATGAGGGTGAGCTGGAGCAATTTGGCGGCGAGGGTGGCGTCGAGGTCGAGACAGTGGTCGCGGTGGCGGTGGTAGTGGAGTAAGGTGCCGAGACTGAAAATCTCGATGGTGTTGCGTAATCTGGGGTCTGACGGTGGCAGCTCGATCGCCAGGGCAAGGAAATTGAACACCCCGGGCGCCGCCAATGCCTCCATGGTGTGTTTGATATAACCGTAACGCTTGAGTCCTGGTGAGGCGAAAAATGAGATCGTGTGGGGTGAACAAAAACAGCCATCGTTGAATAAAACAAAATGGAAATTGACGAGAATTTACTCGAGAGTTGATTGATAAGTGGATTTATTGTAGTCATCTTTTCGTGTTTGTTGAAGTCTGGTTTTTATGACTATTGTAAGGCAAATACTTGAACTTATTAGACCTTGAAATTATAGTCACTCAGAAATGACATTCTCCTCGAATGTGTTCAACTTTTCAAATTTGACCTTTGACTAACCATCCATGCCAAGCACCGCCTTGAACCGATTTACTGGACCTGAGTTAATTAATGAAGTAGAAATATGTAGTGAATGAAGCATAAGACAAACCCAGCTGGTTCATTCCCTTATTGATTCTACAGTATAGTACTAATTTTGTGTGATATAGTATGTGAATGGATGCTTATTCTTCTTCTTCTTCGATCAACAGGTCGAAGGGGGTACTGGTGGCCATCCAGGGGCGTTTCTCGTCCATAGGCAGCAGCAAGTGGCCTGGGGGTCCTACCTCATCGCGGTTGCCGCCCCCGTGACGCTTTAATCGAAGATTTAACCGGTTAAACGTCGCCACGGGAGGCAGATTGCGGTCTTTGGAGCTGGGTATAGGCCCAGGACCCCCGGGGTAACCGGTACCAAGGGCCACTGGGTCTACCCCACCAGCCATCAGAAACACCAGCAGTTTCCACCGCTTGGAACGGGGCACCGGCAGCGTCGGCCGCGGCTGAGGATCAATGGGGGCGATCACGGGCATCAGCACCTCCAGCTCGTCCAGCGAGTTCAGCAGCAACTGCAGCAACTTCAGGCGGGCGCTGATGTCGCTGACTTGGCGGCGAGGGTAGGCGGGTCGTTTTTTGCGGTTTCTAAGACTCCCAGTTTGACTTTTCAAGTCTTGAGAGTTATTGAGACTCAGGTCGTACATGCCGTCGTCAAACGAGATGTCGTCGTCCAGCTCCAGCTCGTCCAAAATGTCTAGTTCTGATTCCGTCATCGCGCTGAAATGGGATAAGTTACTGAGCTGAGACACCTGGGATACGATCAGAAGCGGGCGCGGTCGCCGTTGCAGCGATGATGACCCTGGTTGCAGAGACACTGCTCTTATTGGCAGCGGCGTATCCTTTTTCTCCGAGATTGGTGGCTGTTGGTTGAGTTCGAGGGCATTGGCGTCATCCAATAAAGGGGCGGGGACAGCGGTAACTGGTACGGGTTCGACGACATCGGGGTAGCTACCGTTTTGCAGGGGGATGGTGAGTTGGTCTAAGCTGGGTTTCTCCTTAAGAGTGGCGCCTTCAAGCGATTCCGTCGACCGTTTATGCTTTTTCCAGAACTGGAGCTTAGTGAGCAATTTACCGTCCCTATACTTGCGGCGAGACGAGTCTCCCAGCGTCAGATTGACGGGACTCACTTCCGAAAATTGTACCTCGCGTCCGTTACTGGAAATCACCGGTTGCGGGTCGGCGAGCGTCTGCATGATCAGGGCCAGTTCCGGGGTAGTGATGGCGGTAGCGGGCTTTTTGGGCAGCATTTGGTGGGGGTCAGGACGAGAAATGTCGGTAGACCGTCTCAGATTGAGGAACGAAAGCCCCGTTTGCAGAGATATCAGCCCTTGGTCCGATAGCAGGAGCACCAGCTTCACCCGCTGCAGCGACCGGCGCAACAGCTTGCGGGCTTCGTAGTAGCGGCGTTTCTTCTCCCGCATGTATTTCTGTTTCTTCTTAGCAAGTTCTTCAGTCAATAGTAACTCGTAGAATGCAGTTAAAGGGTTCATCTCGTTTTTGTAGACGCTGGCTTCAAGCAGTTCCAAGTTGACTCCGAGCTTTTTAAGCCGTTTGAGGATGGTACGTTCAAGCTTAGACAGCAAGGGGGCTTTGGCGTAGTGGTAGTGTTGGTGGATCAGGATAATCAGCTCGGCATCGGCGACGGCGCCGCAATCCTTCTCAGTGTATTCCAGGTAGGTGTCGATTAAAAACGGCAGATTGAGGATCTCGTTGATGTTGGGTCGCAATTGAGGGTCTTTGCTGAGTAGTTTAACCACCAACTCATTGATTTCTGGTGGTACTGCTTCCGATATCCGCGGGTGGGAATTAACAATTCTTTCCTTAACGACAAAATCGTTATCATCGTCAAACGGGAGTTCTCCATATACCATCGTATAAAGGATGATTCCCAAGGCCCAGATGTCGACGGCAAACCCCAGATACTTAGCGCCCTGAACCATCTCGGGGGCCATATACACCAGAGTGCCACATATAGTCTGCAATTGCTGGCGCGGCTGGACCTCTCTGACGAAGCCAAAGTCACTAAGCTTTACTTTCGTCCGCTTGACGTCAGCAAAGAGGATATTTTCCAACTTGAGGTCGCGGTGGCTGAGGTTTAGCAGGTGGACGTATTTCACCGCCAACACGATCTGGAAGAAGAGACTGCGGGCGTGGTCGGCCGATAGCCGTTTGTGGTCGTAGATGTGGTAGAATAGCTCGCCGCCAGCACAGTATTCCAACACCAACCAGATGTGGTTCTCGGTTTTGATCACCTCATACAAACTGACGATGTTGCGGTGTTTAAGCTGTTTGTGATAGTAGATCTCACGAACGATGTTGGGGTCGTCCTTTCTGCCGCATTTGAGCACCACCTTGGTGTCCAATATGATGTGAGAGGCGAGGTAGACCTTGCCAAACGCCCCCTCGCCGATCTCCTCGACGATGCGGTAGCACCCGACCTGGTCGACGGAGTCGCTGGTCATGAGGTTGTAGAAGCTGTTGAACTGGGCAGCCAACGCTGCCTTGGAGTTTAGTTCTGCGGCGCGGCCGTTCATGGAGCCACGGAG